CATGAAAAGTATGAACATGAAAAGTATGAACATGAAAAGTATGAACATGTTCAGCATCAGTACTTAGTTGTTGCTCCTTGTGTCTGGATCTCTGCATCAATGCGTCGTGTCATGGAGTGGATCAGTCTGTGTCTCTGCTCAGGTGTTCTGAGAGCCCAGGTTGTTCTGATCGTGGCCTTCATCTCTTCTGAATTGTTGGCTCTGGTGCATCACATCTTCCTCTTCACAATACACCACAGATTTTCTATCGGGTTAAGGTCAGGCGAGTTTGCTGGTCAATTAAGAACAGGGATACCATGGTCCTTCAACCAGGTACTGGTAGCTTTGACTCTGTGTGCAGGTGCCAAGTCCTGCTGGAAAATAAAATCTGCGTCTCCATAAAGTTGGTCAGCAGCAGGAAGCAGGAAGTCTCTACAACTTCCTGGTTGACAGTTGAGTTAACCTTGGACCTCAGAAAACACAGTGGACCAACACCAGCAGAGGACATGGCCCCAAACCATCAGTGACTGTGGAAACTTGACACTGAACCTCAAGCAACGTGGATTCTGTGCCTCTCGTCTCTTTCTCCAAACTCTGGGATCTTGATTTCCAAATGAAATGCACATTTTACTTTCATCAGAAAACAGAACTTTGGACCTCTCAGCAGCAGTCCAGTCCTTTTTGTCTTTAGCCCAGGTGAGACACTTCTGTCACTGTCTCAAGTTCAAGAGTGGCTTGACACAAAGATTGTGACAGCTGAACCCCATGTCTTGCATACGTCTGTACGTGGTGGTTCTTGAAGCACTGACTCCAGCTGCAGTCCGCTCTTTGTGATTCTCCCCCACATTTTTGGAATGGGTTTTGTTTCACAATCCTCTCCAAGGTGCAGTTATCCCTGTTGATTGTACACTTTTTTCTTCCACATCTTTTCCTTCACTTCACCTCTCTATTAAGTCGTTTTCACACCTGATAGTCCGGTAGACTCGGTTCGGTTGGGGATCAATATTCATAATATTTTGTTACATTTGAGCTGGTGAGTTTGCATTCACACTGCACTGTGCAGTCGAGCCAACCTGTTGAACCAACCTGTTGAACCAACCTGTTGAACCAACCTGTTGTTGAACCAACCTGTTGAACCAACCTGTTGAACCAACCTGTTGAACCAACCTGTTGTTGAACCAACCTATTGAACCAACCTGTTGAACCAACCTGTTCCCCCGCTCGCCTGTGGGGGCGCTGCACCAAGAACTACTGAAAGACACGACACAAAAACCTCTGAAGACACTTCTTCTTCTTCTGTAAATAAAAACGAAGTGGCATCAAGTTTTAGCAGTTTTAGGAGTTATATTTTGTCATTTTTCAAAAATGGACTCAGCATGAGCAGAAGATGAGACAGAAGACCATGGAGAATATTGTTTATCACACAAGTCAGCTGACGGCTCCATATAAGAGAAATGTGTGTTTGTCCTGCGGAGCGGGGCTCGGTCTGTTTACATTCACACTGTACTAGAACAGCGCTGGAGTTCTCTTCTACCGGACCGAGACCTAGGTTTTAGCCCGGGCCAGAGTTCACCTTTTTGTTCCGTGACAGAGTTCGATGGCGCGTTCACACCTCCCTAAACGAGCCGGACTTTCTAGGAAAACAAGCTAGAGTTCGATTAAAGCGGACTAAACAGGGCTGGTGTGAATGCACCCTTAATGTGCTTGGACACAGAGCTCTGTGAACAGCCAGCCTCTTTAACAATAACATTTTGTGTCTTGCCTTCCTTGAGCAAGGTGTCAATGGTCGTCTTTTGGACAACTGTCAAGTCAGCAGGCAGGCATGGGAGGAGTCGACGGGGAACAGGACAGCCCCAGAAACCATCTTAGCTCCAGCAAACTGGTTGGTCCACTTAAGAAGTTTACTGCTTGGTGGGAAGAGTTTAGAACTCCTCAGACTGATGAAGCCCTCTGGATAGAGGGCGAAACGTGTCTATAAAAAATTACTGTCCTGATGACCTGACTGAGAATTATTAGACTGAGACCGTTTCTTTTTTTTACCTGGATTATTGAACATGGACTTTGTTATTAGACTGAGCTCGTTTAAAGGCTTTCGGAGGTGTTTTGAGTTAATCAGCTGATCAGAGTGATTTTATGACCAGCGCCTGTGAATATAATATATTTTGTTCTGACCACGTGAACAGGAGGTTGAATCAAACCCTTTAAGGGACAAAATATTAGTGGGGGGGTCGAGAGACGCATTCAATGCTGCTATTACTCTCATGGTTTTTGAACCTTGTAGGCCTGAAGAAGAGAATTCTCATTTTATTTTACACCCCCCCACACACACACGCGCGCGCGCGCGCACACGCGCGCACACAATTCAAAAGTCCCTGTTTACTGACCTCTGTAATTTCCACTGGCGCGCTCGCGCACACGCACAGAGAGTAAAAGTGGTTTTTGGTGCAGCTGGATCTCTGACCACCGAGGGAGTTGATCCGAACCTCCAGCGGACCCTCCGGACCTGAGTCGGGCCGGTTCGGTTGCAGGGCGGTACTTCCATCTTCAGATCCGGCTGGCTGGATCCTGGCGCCTGACCGTGGACCGGAACTGTTTCCAGGTGATTCCAGGTGTGTTGACTCAGACTGGGTCCAGAACCGGACATAGACCTGGTACTGGAGCTGTGCACCATGAAGCTGGCGGAGGAACGGACCTGGTCCCTGTTCCGGAGCCGGTTCCGACAGACCCTGACCTACTGGAGCGTCTTCTTCAGCTTCGGCCTGAGCATCGCCTTCCTGGGACCCACCATCCTGGACCTGAGGTGCCAGACCCGGTCCAGCCTGCAGCAGATCACCTGGGTCTTCTTCAGCCAGCAGTTCTTCCTGCTGCTGGGCAGCTGCCTGGGGGGACTCGTCCGGAGAACGTAAGTCCGGATCGGTTCGGCAGGTCTGGGTGGACTGAACGCGCTCTGGTCCTGGTCTTTGGTTTTTGTCATTTTTTACTCATTTCACTTTTAGTTCATGAATTCTTTCACTCAGAAGAAGAAAAACTTCAACCTGAGTTTACAAAACACTTTCAGAGAAGCACGTGACCTGAGGCAGCAGTCCTGTTGTTGTTGTTGTTGTTGTTGTTGTTGTTGTTGTTGTTGGGGGGGGGGGGGGGGGGGTTGTTAGCAAAATATCTCCTGAACCGGATTTGAATGAAACTCTCTGGAAGTCTTGTTGAAAAACTTCTCCAAGATGGCCGCCACAGCTAGTCAGCCTTAGTGAGCACAAACAGGATCATTCCAGTCCCGCTGCAGATCCTGGGCTGAAGTTTAGTATTTGGTGTGGTAGTAGCTGAGAGTCATTATTTACAAGGTTTGATTCAGTTCTATTCAAATCTCTTTATTTCTCTAGCTCCAAGTCCACAGAAGTCACTGAACAGAAACATGCATGCACATTATAAAAGACAATTAGTACAAATTATCAAGGAATAAGAAACGATAAACATCCCTCGGCTGTGGCTCAGTGGGTAGAGCAGTCGTCCTCCAGTGTGAGAGTTGGGGGTTTGACTCCACCAGCAGTCACCTGCTGAAGTGTCCCTGGGCAAGACACTGAACTCCTCGATGTGTCCCATCAGTGCATGAGCGTGATCTTTAGATCACATTAAAGCACTGATTAATCTGTGTAAAGGAGGAGTAGAATGCTGCATGTGTGTATATGGACGCAGTCAGAGAGGACATGGAGTGAGGACATGGAGTGAGGACAGAGTGAGGACAGAGTGAGGACGACTCGCTGTGGAGACCCTGAAGAGGGAACAGCTGAAAGAAGAAGAGTGCTGTATGAATGAGTAAATGAGGACATACATTGTGTTGGAAAACACTTTGAGTACCGTGATCAGATAGGTGCTATAAAAGTACAGTCATTTACTCTGTGGCAGTAAAGAGAGCGGGTGACAAGCATTCATTAGGGGTTAACATTGGTCCTGCTGACATCTGAGTGGACTCTCGGTGTCCTCAGGGACATGTTCTGCTCTGACACGTCCACATTTGACTGGAAAATGTGCAACATTCAAATTCTACCTAATGATCAGCTCGGCTATCTCCAACATCCCAACAGAAGAGGAAACAGGAGCCTGACACCCTGCTGGCACGTTAGGAGCCTGAGGTTTCCAAAAACACGTTTTACACTGAAGAAGTCTTAAAACTGACGTCCCAGAGCCGCCTGCGACCCATCTGCTGATCCAGATTTGAATGAATTTAGTCTGGGCGTATTCTATGTGTGTTCTGCGTGTGTTCTGCGTGGGTTCTGCGTGGGTTCTGCGTGGGTTCTGCGTGGGTT